ATAAAAATAATGCCCTAAAATATAATACTTTTAGACTATTCTCTCCCCCATAGCCTTTTGAGACATGGAGTTGAGAAATATTTTTATATATTTGAAATAATTTGAACAAGTTGATGTTGCTGGAATGATTGGTAATGAGGCTGGAGGAAGGTAGTTATGGTGGCATACTGGGTAAGGAGTTGCAGTGCCAGGCCAAAGGTGGGCAGTTCAAATCTACTAGCTGCTCTGTGAAAAGAAGATAGGCAGTCTTCTCTTGTGTAATTTTATAGACTCTAAAAACTGACTGGAGGGTCAACTATGAGTGGATTCTTACTCAGTGGGAATGAATTTGAATTTTGAGTGACCAAGAAAGGCCTTGTGTGCCATGTTAAGCAGCTCAGTCTTCTCTTAATGGCTAAGACGTTTTCCAGAAAGAGGAAATGCTTTGTAAGATGAGTGGGACACACAGTTGCAATTGGAGCCCTTCCTATCCCGTGTCATCTTCCTCATTTCAGTGTGGTTGAGCCCAATGTTATAGTCACTGTGTCAGTCCATTTCGTTGAGGGTCTTTCTCTTTTTTGTTGACCCTCCACCTTTCCCAGTATACCATCTTTTTCCAGGGACTGGCCCCTCAAAACTGCCGCAGGTATGTGAGATGAAGCTCACCGCCCTTGCCTCTACGGAGCACCCTCTTTGCACTTTATTAAAGATGTGTGTTTGTTCTTTTGGACGTTCAGAGGATTTGGGGTTTTCCAGCTCCCTTTTTTATTTACAGAAACAACTTACCTGGAAAGGCTTTTCTAGTGTTCACAGTGTTCTGATTATTCAGAAAAGCCTTCTGTGAGGTAGAATCAGATCCTAGGTATTGCAAATGGGTTGTGATCACCTCCTCACCTAAAGTTTGGCAGTTCAAACTCACCCAATGGCACCACAGAAGAAAGACCTGGTGAGCTGCTTCTGTAAAGACTGCGGCCAAGAAAACCCTAGGACCTGTTTTGGTTGTACTCTGTACAACATGGGCTGCCTTGTTTTGGATTTATGTTTTTTGTTTTCGTTTTGTGGCTGAATTTCTCTTTGTTTCTGATTCTCTCTGCAGGCCCAGAGCCTGGGGCCCAGTGTGATGTGTCACCCGTGAACGCCTCCCATCCCGTGCAGGCCTTGATGGAGAGCTTCACTGTCCTGTCTGGCTGTGCCAGCAGGGGCACCACCGGGCTGCCGAGAGAGGTGCACATCCTGAACCTCCGCGCTGCTGACCAGGGGCCTGGCCAGCGCCAGAGAGAGGTACGTACAGGGGTCAGCCTTCAAGCCACTGCCCTCTGAGTCTATAAAGTCAGCTGTGTGAACAAAGGGGTCTTCTCTTTCATTCTGGGGTTTAACAAAGATGCATGCTCACCTGTAAGCAGAAATGGGGAAGAAGAAACAAGGTACATGGAGGGAGAGAGAAGAATTCCCCATCACTGACTGCTGTTTGGACAGGGCTACAGGGCTTCTCTAGAGATTTCTTGACTTGCCCTTTCTTTTGCCCCCATGTGAGAAAGCATGCTCTGAAGAATTTTACTTTTTTATGACTTTCCTCATGATTACATCTCCTATCTCCTCCTGTGCCTTCTTGTTCTTTCCCTTGTGTTGTTACATGAACCTGTTGCTCCTGCAGGGTAAGCGAGGGGTGTTGGATTACTCTGGGATAAAGATGGGGGAATTTTGTACTTGCAGGGAAAATCACGTGTGTGGCTCCTTGTCACTATTCAGCCAGCTTCCCGGAGATGGTGGTGGTGATGATGCTGATAAAAACTCCTCGTTTTTTGGCATTTGCTACTTGTACAACCCTAATTCTGACCCACAGCAGTTCTGTATGACAGAGTAGACCTGCCCTCTCAGGTTCTCTGGGCTGTGCTTGTCACAGTAGCAGATCACCAAGTTTTTTCCCCATGCAGCTGCTGGGTTGATTCAAAGAAGTGATTTTTATGTACCTCAGAGTGAAACTTCAATGTGTGGGCAAGAAAGCTAACAAATTCTAAAGCCAAAGAAGTAGAAATGCCTTGCATTAACTTTCCTGCTATTTATTAGTGTGATGCAGGGCATAGGGAGTTGTACCGCAAACCTGAGGGTTGCTGTTTTAATCCACAAGCAGCTCCGTGGGAGAAAGATGGGCTATCTCCTGTGCAGTCTGCAGCCTTGGAAACCTAGTGGAGGGTCTGCTTTGAGTCACTTCCAACTCCATGGCTGTGATTAAGCAACACTCTTTGAAGGATTGCTCACATCGATCCTATGAAGTTCTGCTCCTGTCCTCAATTTACAGACTAGGAAACTCGATGTAGCGCTAACGCATGTGTTCAAAGTCATCACCTTAATAGACAAATGCCCTCCTCTGTCTTGTGGTGAAAATGTTACCAGTCTTGCAGGTGAATGATTGTCTTTAAAAAGCTGTATTTCCCCACACCCCAGTGCATGTGGTGCCACTTTCTGCTTTTATGCTTTCTATGTTGTCTGTAATGTGATCACTTAAGCATTCTCTCTCCAAGGAGGGAGAAACCACAATAAACCCTGACTGCAGTGAAGTATAGGAAAAATTAATGTGGAGTGAAATCTGTCTTTGAGCTTTCTTCTGGTCGAGAGAGTTAATTTCCATACCCATTTGTTTACATGCCCCCCTGAAGTCTCCCTTTTTTTTGGGAAGAGTAGGAATAGTAGAGGCAAGGAGTCGAATTGGAAAAATACACCAATTGTAGTCTCAAGAAAGAGTGCAGAGTTGGCACTTTTCAAAAGCAGGCCTAACCTTTGGAGCTGCATTGGAAAGTATTGTTAATACTCTTGGTTGCCTGCCATTGTTGCTGCAACACATACTTCAGGTCACTTTTCCTTATCCCAGTAATGCATCTTTAATTCTTAACTGCTGGGGGAGAGGTTGTGGTGGGAGTGGAGGTGTAGGGGAGGAAATGCACTTCCTATGAGCAGAGCGCAGCACTGCTGACTCCAGCAGTTCTTCAGCAGCACTAAGGACTCATTTTATATATGCTTCTCCCAGAGGGGCAGGGAAGGGGGAGAATGTCCAAACTGTTACAGAAGCAGCAACAGCAGAAACATTCTTGAAGTTCAGTTGTGCGGTATGTTTGTTGACTCTGAAAATAGATTCAAACAGAACGACTGAAAAGAAAAGCAAAAGAAATATCCCAAGGAATGACAGCAGTGCGCTCCTACTGGTGTGTACTGTGTTAGATCAAAAGGCAGTTCACTTTAGGACACGACGGACTGAGGATTCGTAAGAGTAACTGACATCGGAGGTTGGAGTATGTTCAGTGAGGAGCAAAAGAAAGGTGGCGGCCTCTAAAACATTTTAAAAGAATTTCTTTTTTTTTTTTTTTGGTTGTTGTTACTAAGACACATACCGGTCCAGTAATTTCTACATGTACAATTTAGTGTCTAAAATATTTTTATTACCTGGACATTATTCCTGTTGTTGTTATGCGCTGTTGAGTCACCTGTGACCCATAGTGACCCTCTGTACAGCAGCTCTGAAACCTGCCCTGTCCTGAGCCAGTCTCACTAAGTCCAACAAACCAACCCCCATTGCCACAGTTATTGTATCAAGCCATCTCATCTTGGGGTCTTCCGCTCCTGCAGTCTCCATCCACCCTTCTGAGTTTGATGTCCCTTCCCAAGGACTAGTCCCTCCAGGCCTGGTGCCCAAAGATGTGAGATGGAACTTCAAAAAAGACATTATTCTTAGTTAAATATATTTAGATAAGGAGCTTTGGTGTCCTAGTCCTTAAGGGGTTGTGCTGCCACCCAAAGCTTGTGCTTCTTCTGGTGGTCCAAATGCACCAGTGGTTCCGTGGGAGAAAGATAAACAGTCTCTCCATGTGATTAAGAGTTTCCTAAAATCCTGCTGCTGGAGGGTCGACTATGAGTTGCTTTTAAGTTTCAGTGTTGTGTTTTTTTAAAAATGTATATATATTTGGATAAATAGATAATGATTGGGTTGATGTTATGAAGATATTTCTTAGAATCTGAGCAGGAAGATTTGCATTATTTCCTTCTCTGAGAGTCTTTAAAAATTAGATGGTTATGGTTCAGTTCTGCTTCAGACAAAATTGCTTGGCTTGTGATCTTTGGAAATCCCATCTGGCCTTGTGTTAGGTGCTATCATCTTGGTTTCAACTCATAGCAGCTCCATATGCAACAGAATGAAATGCTGACGCCTGGCCCCGCACCATGCCCACAATCCTTGCTATGTTTGAGCCCATTCTTGTAGCCACAGTGCCAATCAGCTCATTCAGGGTTGTCTTCTTTGTATGTTGATCCTGTACCAAGCCTGATGTCCTTCTTCAGGGACTGGCTTCTCTTGATGACATGCCCAAAGTGAGATGACATGTCATTATCCTTGTTTCTAAGGCGCAGCAGCCTGTCTGGTTTCCCCCAAGATACTATGGATGACCCTGTGGTAATTGAAATATTGGTGGCATAGCTTCCAACACCAAGTCATGACAGTCCAATGAATTGATTAGACAAGTTGTGCTAATCTAGTCTTGGTTTGACTTTTAATAATAGACTTCACAGTCATTTGCACGTTCAAAGAAGGTGGGCAGAGGATGACACCACAGCAGCAAGGTCATTACAAAGAGAGAGAGAAAGAGTTTTTGGGTGATACTCTGAGATGGGGAAGTGTTAACTATCTCTCACCTCCTTTGTGTGTGCCAGTGAAGCTATAATACTGTGGCTAGTCTTTAAAAGATATTCAGACCATATAATCTAGCCATTCCACTCCTGGGTATATAACCAGGAGAAAAGAAAACCTGCATCCGTACAAAAACTTGTACATGAATATTTAAATTAGCCTTATTTATAATTGCCCCAAATTTAAGCAACTTGAATGTCCATCAGCTGTTGAATGGATGAATAAAATATGGCATATCCATACAATAAAAACTCTGATGGCATTCATAGCAAGTTAAGTGTTGGTTTGCTAATAAAAAAATAATAAAAAAAGGATTGTATTTCAGATTCACTCACCACTCCACTGATTAAAAGATAAAGCAAGCTGCTTATGTGAAAATTCACAGCCTCAGAAACCTCTGGGGCAATTCTACTCAATCCTATAGGAACTCTATGAATCAGAACCAACTTAAAGGCTATGGAGGGCTGGTGGAACTGTGGTTAAAAGATGTAGCTGCTAACCCGGAGGTTGGAAGTTCAAACCCACCAGCACCCTGTAGGAGTAAGATGAAGTAGTCTGTCTACATAAATATTAACAGCATTGGAAACCTCATGGAGAGGCTGCTTGTTTTTTACTACAGCATCACTCTGGGTTGGAAGTGACTCTGTGGCAGTGGATTTTAATGATACAGTTTTATTTAGCAATAAAAAGAATTAAGTTCTGAAATATGTGGGGACAAGATTGGTGGAAGATCTATCAACAGTCTGTGTTATGCAGATGACACAACCCTGCTTGTTGAAACTGAGGAGGAACTGAAGTGCTTGCTGCAGAAGGTCAAGGACTGCAGCCATCAATATGGATTGAGGCTCAATGTCAAGAAGACAAAGATTCTCACCACTGGACCAATTGGCAGCATCAGGATGGATGGTGAAGAGATTGAGATTGTTCACAGCTTTAGTTTTCTTGACTCCACAGTCAACACTCTTGGCACCAGTAGCCAGGACATTAAAAGACATATTGCCATGGGAAAGTCTGCTGTTAGGGACCTCTCCACAGTACTTAAGAGCAGTGGTGTCTGGAGACTAAAGTGTGTCTGATACAGGCTATGGTCTTTGCAATCACTTGTTATGCATCAGAGAGTTGGACAATGACTAAGGAGGATAGAAGGAGAATTGATGCCTTTGAGCTGTGGTGCTGGAGAAGAGTATTGAGGGTACCATGGACTGCTAGGAAAACAAACAGATTCATCCTGGAAAGGGTCAAACCGGGTAGCTCCTTGGAGGCAAGGATTCTGAGGCTCCGTCTAACATACTTTGGACATGTTGTGAGGAGGGGCAGGTCCTTGGAGAGGGACATCATGCTTGGTAGGGTGGAGGGACAGTGCAGAAGGGGAAGGCCCTCTATGAGGTGGATTGATTCAGTGATTGGGATAATCAGGATGGGTGTATCAGAGATTGTGCAATTGGCACAGGACAGAGCAAAGTTTAGGGCTGTTGTACATAGGGTCGCTATGAGTGGCAAGTGACTGGATGGCACATAACAACAACGTATATTGCAACATTGATAAGCCTGGAAAACATTATGCTAAGTGCTAGAACCCAATTACAAAAGCCTGCATCTATCCCCC